AAATTGATTGGTATTTTATTCGTGGAACAGGTTTTGCACTAATAGTTTTTTCTTAAGAATTATAAATGACTTACAATATGTGTTCAAATATGAATTGAAACAAAGTATGTTTAAATTATTAATGCCTTGATGATTTCCTAGATGTTATAGGCCTTAACCTTTCATAACAGTTGATAAGCTCAGACAACATTCTTAGAAATGTCTGATGAATAAACTGTTTCTAACCAAAGCATAAAGCATAGCAAAATTGACATTTATCTTTTAAATTGAAAAGATGTTGATTCTACTTAAATTGTTGAACAATACCATGAACTTGGGACTTCTGAAACCTTGGGACTTTTTTTTTTTTTTTTTTGCGGTACTTGGGCCTCTCACCCCCGCGGCCTCTGCCGCTGCGGAACACAGGCGCCGGACGGCGCAGGCTCAGCGGCCATGGCTCACAGGCCCAGCCACTCCGCTGCACGTGGGATCCTCCCGGACCAGAGCACGAACCCGCGCCCCCCCGCATCGGCAGGCGGACTCCCAACCACTGCGCCACCACAGAAGCCCGCCTTGGGACTTTTGAAATCAAAACATAAGCTTATATTCTATTATTTTGAAAAATATTTTTATAGAAAAAATATGCATTCAAAAACAAACAAGATTATAAACACCATACATTTATACCATAAATAAATATTAAATGTTAAAAACATAAAATGCTTTAATTGCTTCTATGCAAAGACCATACTTCAGACATCTCTTGAAACACTGGGCATTCAATATCTAACTAGGATCAGATCCAAACTTTACATCCTTGAGTACAAGGTGAAGTAACATTGTTTAACCTCTCCAGCTGCCCAGCTCTAGTCAGAATTTAAAAATATATTTCCAGGAAGCTTGGTCCACCCATGCCACCCCCTACATATAGAGGTTAAGATGTAACTGTAATAACAAATGACACAGAAATAAATTACACATACATCAAACATCCTTTCATAGCTTTTGTATCTTCTCAGATAACTATACATTAAAAGCCTACTAAATCTGCTTGAGCCTTAGCAGGTTACAGGTTATGAATGCAAAACGAAACAAGATACTATTAGGTTATTGCACATTTGACTATTTCTTTACCTCTGTTGAACATATTTTATAACCGACCAACATATAACCACCTGTAATATCTTGTTTAACATGGTAATGATCATTTATTTAAAACCTACTATGTGCCAACCAGTGTCGTATTTCATTCTAACAACTATGAGAAGTTGGAATTATCCCCATTTTACAGACAAAGAACCTGAGACTCTCAAAGATAAAGGAAATTAATGAAGATTACACAGCTAGCAAGTAATGGAACAAGGATACAAATACAGGTCTGATTCCAAAACCTGTGCTAATGATAACATCAAAGACTCATCTTTGGCAGCATTGCACAAGTAATGTTATATAACTGCTGAAAAATTTAGAAAAAGAAAAAAGAGGAAAAAAAAGATTTACCTCAGACTATAGTAAAATTCTATTGACTACTGTGAAACATGGCCATTGTACAGTAACATCTTAATTATCTGGAAGTACAGTAGAAGGTCTTTTAATTTTCACTTAATCAACTAGCAAGATTGTCCAATGCTTTCCATATCTTCCATAGAAGCAAACTGACAGACATGAGCAGCTAATAAGTTACTTTCCAGTTGCCTGCACACTTCTACTCCTACTAGTTGAGTTGTATGCTTAAGTAGTATCTGGTGTTTCTTCCCAAATCTGCTTATGTGAATTTATTTTAAAACTATATAAATCAATGAAATGAATGCACAAAAAGGTTATTTCTGTGAAAACTACGTTGAATGCTTTGGAAAGCACATATTTTGATGAACATAATTTTGATGAATATATATTCCCTCTCCTCCCAAAACAAATTTCTGTTGACTACACAAATATCCTTGTAATTCCTGGTGTACACAGACACCTATAAAGTTGTGTGAAACATTAAAAAAGAATTTAACACTTTTTAAATGTAAAATATTCCACCCTTGGATTTTTTTGCAGTCTTATTCCACTTTAAAGAAATTGAAAGTAGAAATCTTAGGTGTACATTTTTGGTGTGGTTTACATAGGGAAGATCATATCTAACTCTGAAAAACAGACCCCATTTCACCCCCCAAAAAAGGGCCTTGAGCCTACACCAAAAGACAAATGAAATAATTAAGGCTGTTATTTTTTCTGATTCCTCATTTAAACTTTTTAAATTAGCCAACCAACTACCACATGCAACCATGTAGGATAAGAGGGTCCTTTTGCACTTAGAAACTTTCTGAAGCACAGCTGTATACCACTAAGCAAATATCTCACAGTTTCTACACTAGAATTCGTATACTTTCTTAGCTTCTGAGTGAATATCTGAAGGTTTTCCTATTTATTCTCATTTTTTAGAGAACTCAGTGCTAAGCATGGTTATCTAGTTCTTTATCCCAGAGACTAAAAGCAGTAAAATTAAAATGAGACAAGAATAAGCATATTGACAACAAAGACTGTTGACAGCATGGGAATTCAAAAATCAGATCTTAAAAAAAATAGGCTGAAGTGGTTTAAGCTAGAGGAAAAAAAAAATCTGTGTCCACATATCATGATTACAACTGAAAATATTTTTGGCATTCGAAGAGTAAAGTTTCAGTTAGCCAGAAAATTAACTCATATAGAATAGCTTCTTAGTTACCAATGTAGAAAAAGTGAAGTATTACTGTTGTCAAGCTCTCCCATAATTGTGCCTTGCCAACCACAGGTCAAGAAATCAATTCAATGGATTATGCAAGCAATTTTTAACAACAGAAATAGAACAGAAAGTACAAGACCACACTGCACATAGTACGAGTAAGTATGTTTTGTGAAGTTTATTTCAGTATTTCTATACTACTTTGCAAAGTAAAAGATACTTCTTACTCTAGGTCCTGGTCAAAAGAAAGCCATGGGCCTAAAGACTCATATTATAAAATATAGTCACAATACTAAACTTTCAATCACCTCATTTTTACATCATAATGCTAAAGATAGCTACAATTTTAACGAGAAAAAAGTCTCCTTTTTAGGAGTCTTGATGCATAAATGTATTTACTTTTCCTAGTAATCTATATTAATATATAACATTTTATTGTGTTTAGTACTAGTTTTGGCTAAAATAGAGATTGTGTGCAAATACTATTTTTTTTAACTGCTTAGGGGACTTCCCTGGCGGTCCAGTGGGTAAGTCTCTGCCCTCCCAATGCAGGGGGTTCAGGTTCCATCCCTGGTCAGGAAACTAAATCCCGCGTGCATGAGGCAACTAAAAGATCCCGCGTGCCTCAACAAAGACCTGGTACAGCCAAAATTTTTAAAATAAACAAACAAACAAACAAACCTGTGTAGGACCTTAAAGCGACTTTTGCAACAACCACCAAAACAAAAACAAAAAACAAAGAGCAACTCTGATTTTCTTTGCTTGTTTATTTTGAGATGCAATTACCGACCTTGGTGCCATCTTTCCAAAGTCACAGATGAAATCTAAAAGTCTAAACTTGGCATTCTACACAAGCAACCTGCTTAGTAACAATATTCTTGCTAATACTTAATTCATACAAAGCTGATTTTAAGAAACAACCAAACACTTAAACTAATCCACTAAATTAAGTATGGCTTTCTCCACTTCTTTCTAGTGCATTTTAAGACAGTATTACCAAAGATGTATTTTAATAGAAAAGAAAATTTGACTTTCTAATCCAGTTTGAAAAAATATATGGAAAAAATAACCAGTTTAATATATATCTTTTAAAATTATTTTATTTTATTCTTTTAAATTATCATTTATTGATTGATCGATTGACTGCCATGTCGAGGCCTGCGGGATCTTAGTTCCCCCACCAAGGATCAAACCTGTGCCCCCTGCAGAAGAAGCACGGAGTCCTAGCCACTGGACCGCCACGGAATTTCCCTTTTTTTTTTTTGCGGTATGCAGGCCTCTCACTGTTGTGGCCTCTCCCGTTGCGGAGCACAGGCTCCGGACGCGCAGGCTCAGCGGCCATGGCTCACGGGCCCAGCATGTGGGATCTTCCCGGACCTGGGCACGAACCTGTGTCCCCTGCATCGGCAGGCGGACTCTCAACCACTGCGCCACCAGGGAAGCCCTCCCATATCTTTTTTTAAATAAGCATCTAATTCATAAAGATAAATTAACATTTCCAATCTGAAAGTCTCAGATTTGGAAGGAACTCTGTCATCTAGTCCAACTCCCTACCAAATACATTAATCCTCTTCCTACAATGTTCCTTGGACTCAAATTCCCATATGACAAACTCCTACTACCACTATATTAAAACCTTCTAAAGTTGGTCCTTGCAATGGCCAATCAAAAGCAGATTGATAAATGAGTTTTCAATTCCTTTGAAATCCTTGAGAAACACAGTGTATGCATTATTCCCATAAGTCCTGAAAATACAGGTTTATTAAGGAAATGGCACATTTACAGTTACTTATTATAGGGATTTCAGTAGCCCTGTGTATATACTGATATACTGGACAAAGCCCTGGAGTACTCTGCAAACTTTTAGAGTTTGCCTAAAGCACAAAAATCAGCAATGACAAATAATATTTGTGAACTCAATTTTAAATTTTCTCAGTTTATCAAGATCAAATTCTCAAGTTGAAAAAACTTTTAAACTTCTTTAAAATCGAAGTTAGATTGAACCTAAAAATGAGTAATGTAACTCTAAAATGATACCAAGTATTGTGGCAACAGATACACGTGCTGTTCTTGGCAATTTCATTTTTAATATCTCTTGAAACTAATACTTTGAAGACACTTTTGAAGAATGTATTCTCCCATCTAGTTCCTAACTCTTCCATGCGCCCTTCTCTACCTTACCAGCTGGAATCTGTAACAGAAACAAATAATCATATGTAATTCACAGAGAGTTGATCCTGCCGCAGAACTAGGTTAACTTTTCTAAAATGGGGCACAGAAAAAAAAAATCCTACTTAAATCAATTATTTACCTCGGTCTGGCTTCATCTTCACGCCAATTTCCACCCAAGGTGCTGTGAAATACACGTGTGGGTTCTTTCAACAGGCTCGCCGCCGATTCTGTGGCTACTGCTCCGTTTTTAAAATGCTAAAAGACATCAAAATAAAATTAATCTGGTCTTGCCCTCAACACTCGATCTTGCAAGAAAACTACTGCTAACAGGCCTCTCCCTGGCACTAAGCGCGGTGACAGCACCATCCGCAGGTCTGAAAAAAGCAAAACTCTGCACCGCCCTCCCCCGTCTCCTCCGGACCAAGCACCCCTCTTCCCCGCCCCTGTGCTCTCCAGGCCAACGTGTCCTTCTTTGACACAGTGTTTCGGAACCAAAAGGAAGACCTATTTATAACCTGAAGGTACAGGCAGGGAAAAAAAAAAAAAAGGATTCAAACAACACAAGCTAACTAACCCCTTTGTAAGAAAAATACCGCTGGGAACAGTGGCACCTCCGCAGTGGCTGGTATAGAAATGCTCCGACCTGGTGACTTGGGCGCAGGAAACTCTTCAAGACCCCAAGCGCCTCGCCTACAGCTCCGCCCGCCCCGCCGGGCCTCACCTGTGTAGTTACCCTCTGGCTAGTCTTCCTGCCTCAACCGCGGCCAAGTTGACACAATGAGAGGGTCAGAAAGAAACACGAGTCATCTCCTCGTGCCCAGCCCCCAGTCCCAAACGAACTCTACTGGGCTGTCCCGGGGCGCCCCTGCCACCCCCCGGCCCTGCGAAGTCTTCCCGGGAAGGTGTTTACGGCCGGGCGCTCGCCCCTGCTCGGCGCAGCCTGCCCGTGCGGCCCCCTTCCGTCCCGCCGCGGCCCTGATTTCCTTCAGCCACGCCGTCCGGAGCGCCGCGCCAGCCCTTTTCCCCGCCGGAGAGTTGTTTTCATGGCTCCCTCGGCCGACCTCTGCTGACTAACTCGCTCTCCTCTCCCGTCCCAATCCCTCCTCCTCTTGGCACTTCTCTCCGCCGCTCGCCCAGCGGCTCACATCACACTCCCACCTCAGACGTGAGGCTCCGAGAGGCGCAGGGCCGGCGAGAGCGGAATGTGGCGCGCAGCGGCCCCCGGGGCTGCGTTAGAGGACCATGGGGGCCCGAGACAACAAGCCCGACGCGGCTCCCCGGCGCCCCTGTGGCCATCCACCCCCGCCTCGGCCGCCGCCTCGCTCCGCTCCCGGCGCTCAGCCCCTCGCCCTGCCTGCCCGACTCGCACCCGAGCCCCGCTGCCCCCGGGCTTCGCCTGCCCGTCGCCCCGGCCGGCCCGCTCGCCCCGCGCCTCTGCCAGCTCGTCGCCCGCCCGCTGCCTCTAGCTCTGGAGCCCCAGCTCCCGGTCCCCCTCGCTCGCCCAGTTCTTTCTCTTCAGTTTGCCCTGTCAAAACACTGCCCGGGTCACGTGTCCCAACAACAGCCAACCCACCGCTCGTCACTTCCTCCCCGGCGGCCTCCGCGGCGGGCGCCCGGTTGTTATGGCAACGCTCCCCGCGCCCCGGGGCGCTAGCCTGGGGGCCTGGGTTCCCTTGCTGGTGCTGCCGGCTGCGAAGGGCCGGCGGAGCCCGGGAGGCCCGAGAGGCGCCCGGCGCTTTGGCCGCGCTCGCCTCCTGCCTGCGCTCCGAGCTGGCTGCGGCGCTTCTGGGACCAGGAACCGGAGCTGCGCTATTAGAGCACAGGGTAACTGGGGAGATGTCATCCGAGGGCCTGCCCCAGACGTGGAGGATAATTATAGTCTCCTCCTCCTCCTCCACACTGGATGCTGGCGCAGAGTTGTGACCCAGCCCCAAGGGGCTTGCAGTGCACGGTGGAAGTCGGGTCTAATTAATGTGGCCAAGACAGGAGAGTGGGCAGCCATATGCTGCAGGGATTGGGGAGTTTAAGAGCAAAAACCCTCCCCAACCAGATTTTTTTCAAATCACCAGGGATTTTAGTAGGATTCGGAACCCAAGCTCTAGAGGCCTTCACTGTGCTAAAAATAACTTTTATAACCTCTAAAACACTGACTCATGGCAGGAGGACACTTTTGACACCGTGTTATTGTTAGGGAGCTGTAATTTTGTTGTTGTGCTATAACAATGTGACATGATGACATTTCGTGTTGCGATGTTGTATCATCATTTCAACACAAACAGATGACAAGGATCTACTGTAATTAAAACAAGCAATCCTAACAAGGGCTGAAGCTATTAGCTACTCAGTTTATAGACAAAGTACACATGGGGTTGTGAGCTCAAAACAGAGACAAAGAGAAGTACAAAATTTGCAATCCTCTTTGGTTTCATTTAGAAAAAGCCTTTTTTTTTTTAAGAAATAATTTTGCATACAAGAATCACAACAGGCAAGTACTAGGTTAGGTTTAAAGGTGATTTACTTTAGTCTTTGTACTCTTCTGAGGTTTCCAAAGTTTTACAGGAAGTATGTTTACTTCTACATCAGAAAAGTTTTTGTAAATTACAAGATTGGGATTGCATTTTTTTTGCCTCAGATCTATTAAATACATGAAATTTTTATTATGAAGAAAACAATATTTTCTGGATGTTTTCATATGCACAGTAAAATTACATATGCACCTGCAATTAAAAACCTTAACTCTAAGATTGCAACTAATCAAAACAGGACAGAACATTTAGGAAGGTAACATTCATCTTCATGGGAAATGTTCTGGCATCCTGAAGATGAAACTTCTGACAAATGGCAACAGTTCCTTTATGTAATAGCTGCAAATGTTAACTCCCAGTGGATTTGACTTTGATATTACAGAATACTGTAGTATGTAGTTTCTTTTATGAACTGAAGCTTTACTTGTTCTAACATCACTTCTCAATTAACCTTGGTAATGGGAGACAGAAAGAGCAGTTAAAGATAATCCAAAATCCTAAATTTAGCACAACAGCTGGGACCAGATAATAGCTATTGTAAAGGCTTACTGGGTGAACAGGCAGCAAGATTTGTGATTTAGCTCCTCTTCCTCTGCCGAATTTGCAAGAGGTATAAAGACCAGAAAAATGTTGAGAGTAGAAGCTGAGAATATTGGATAATCTGGAAAACAATTCTCTTTTAAACAATTAAGTTTGTTTTTTGTTTTTTGTTTTTTTTGCGGTACACGGACCTCTCACCGCTGTGGCCTCTCCCGTTGTGGAGCACAGGCTCCGGACGCGCAGGCTTAGCGGCCATGGCCCACAGGCCCAGCCGCTCTGCGGCATGTGGGATCTTCCCAGACCGGGGCACGAACCTGTGTCCCCCTCATCGGCAGGCAGATTCCCAACCACTGTGCCACCAGGGAAGCCCTAAACAATTAGGTTTTAACAGCACATGGATAAATGATGCTGTCTGAACATTTGTTAGACTACCTTGAAGCTTTTTATTGAGAATCTTAAATTTGTTGAAAAATTGGAGATCATTATGGTAGTGGAAAAATATTTTAAAAGAGGTGTATTTTTGACTCATTCATTCATTTTTCAAATTATTTTTTCACTCAGCCTACATTTATGGAGCACTCACTGTCTGCTAGGCATATGCTAGTTTCTGAGAGCACAAAAGTCACCAAAAACAGGGTCATTACTCTCATGGAGCTTACAGTATTGATTACTACAGTTGCATAGCCTAGGTCAAGTCACATTCTACAGCCTCTTTTAACCTATAAAAATGAGGGGTTTGGACTCAGGCAGTAAATAATCTCTTTCCTTTCTAATTCTAAAACAATCCTGTAATTGTATAAAGCATTTGTAGAATGGTTGGAAATAAGGACCTACCTACCATGGCAACTCTTAAGTGTTGGTGGTAAAGTGTGTTTGCACCTTGGAGCACTCAAGCAAAACAAACATCTCTGGTTCCTGCTTGGTGAGGTGTGAAAGTGGGTGAAGAAAGCAAGTCAAAACAGCTGGCAGGGGGCTTCCCTGGTGGCGCAGTGGTTAAGAATCTGCCTGCCAATGCAGGGGACATGGTCTCGGTCCCTGGTCCAGGAAGATCCCGCATACCGGGGAGCAACTAAGCCTGTGTGCCACAACTACTGAGCCTGCGCTCTAGAGCCCGTGAGCCACAAGTACTGAAGCGCGCATGCCTAAAACCCATGCTCCGCAACAAGAGAAGCCACTGAAATGCGAAGCCTGTGCACCGCAACAAAGAGTAACCCCCTCTCGCCGCAACTAGAGGAAGCCCGCGCGCAGCAACGAAGACCCAACGCAGCCAAAAATTAAATAAATAAATAACTATTTTTTTAAAAACAGCTGGTAGGAACCTTTCCCCTTTTGCATCTGATTTGCTCTCCATTTTGCTTTCCCCTAGTGTTGCAAAGACTTGAGTAATTAACTTCAAAAAAGTTAGCTCATCTTCAGCTAGGAGGTAATCCCCTCAATTTTGATATGTTTTGCTGACATGGGCAGTGTATAACAAAACTGTGTGTTTAATGGAGGTGTTTTACTAACTAAGGTGATGAGGATTACTGGTTTGCTCACTTTATTAGTACAAGGCTATTACTGTTACCAAGGTCATGGAACCAGTCCAGGCTACCAGAATGAGCTCCACCAAAGCAGGGACTGGTGCATTTTTCTTCTTGTATCTCTAACACCAAGCATAGGACCTGGTACAGAGTAGGAGCTCAATACATGTCAACCTTTGTATTCACCAATAAAATATTCTTGTACATGCCCACAAACTGTACCTCTAATACCAGTTGGCATTTACTCCCTAGTGGGATAAAGCTAGATAGAGAGCTGGGAAATCAGTGGGTGGCACAAACTTCATACATGAAGGATAAGTTTTCATTATACTTTTGGTATTGTCTTATAATAGTAGGAGCTCGTTGTGGGTTGAATTGTGCCTTCCAAAATGCTATATTGATGTTCTAACCCTGATACCTGTGAATGTGACCTTATTTGGAGTTAGGGTCTTTGCAGATGTAATCAAGTTAAGATGTAGTCATGCTGGAGTGGGGTGGGCCCTAAATCCAATTACAAGTGTCCTTATAAAGTGAGAGAGATTTGACGACAGAGGAGAGACAAGGAAGATGGCCATGCGACCGGGCAACAGAGATTGGAATGATGCAGCTGCAAGCCAAAGAATGCAGAAGGTTACCACGAGCCACCAGAGTCTAGTAAGAGGCAAGGAAGGATTCTTCTCCAGAAATTTCAGAGGGAGCATGTCCCTGCCAGTATCTTGCTTTTGTCCTTTGCATCTTCAGAACTGTGAGGGAATAAATTTCTGTTGTCTTAAGCCACTCAAGTTTGTTGTATTTTGTTACCGTAGCCCTAGGAAACTAATATAAAACTCCAGCAAAGAATATTGCCATAATTTTTTCTTGGCCTGTAAGTTGCATTGCTGATATTGCAAGTTTTCTAAAGTTTCCAGATTCTGAATGGTCACCAAATCATGGAGATCTTTAATTCTATAAAAATTACAGTAAATAGTTGGAAATGTGAAGAAAATCTCTCTAGTGTCACAAAAGAACAACTTTATGATCATGAATAATAAGTAGTTGAGAATCATCACATGAAAATACACTGTTTTAGATATGGAGATTGGTAGATCTGTTTTCACCATATTGTGGAAATAAAGACTAGTAGAATTAACTGGAATGTATAGATAAATCTTCTAAGGTAAGTAAAAAAATATCAAACTGTGTACTTTTAGTTCCTGAAGCAACAAGAGGAAAGTCACGCTATCTTTTCTGTACCAAAATTGTTTCTGATTGTTCAGTCATATTTATTACAGTTCATTTCTTCCTAAGGGAGAGAGGTCATGGAGTCGTTGCTAAGGTATTGTTCTCATGTAAGCAACCCTCCACCTTCTTTTAAATCGGTTGGCTGATCTGTTCTTTTTTGAGACTCCTGTTTGTCCACCTTCTTTAACCACGGGTATAAGGAAGTGAAAAATGATTCTTTCTGGTTCCTGCTTGCAGAAAGTGACTATAGTACTCAGAAATATGAAAGCTTCTAAACTTCAAGCCATGGGAACCTTTCATCTGAAGGTTTGCTGAGCTGCTAGAGGTCTCTGAGCCATCAAGACTTAAGATCTTTTCAAAAGTTAAAAATAATTGTTCATTTTTGTGACAGTAATTGTGCTCAGCACTTCACATATATTATACATTTGATCCTGAGAGGGTGATATTATCTTGTAGATTAGGAAACTGGGGCTCTGAGATGAGTAAGTTTCCCAAGGCTGCAGTTAATAAGTAGAAGCAGCCTGCTTCCTAAGTGGGCTCATTTAATTTCCATTACAACATGATAAAGTAGGTTAAATTATTCCAAATTTTTCAAATGGGGAAACTAATACTCAGAAACATTTGAGAATGGTTGCACATTTGGAATGCAAATTGGTTTATGTAAACTTAAGCTCAGTGCTTTGAGATATAAGTTCTAAATAGAATGGCTGT